CATGGATTGTCAAACTAAACCGTATATTTTAAAGCACAAACTCAAAACAAATAATATAACATGGTCAAACTATGAATAAAGCTCCAAATAGTAAATGCAAGATAAGCAACTGCAATGAAAATGAATGAGAGAGTAATGGGAAAAGAAAATAAGAATATGTCGTTTCATTCATTGTTCAGTCTTTCAAAAGGCTTGAGTGAACTTTGTATTCCATAATTTTCATTGTAAATGGTAAAATTTTAGCTAAATATTTACTAGTCCAATATTATCCCACTAAACCACAACCAGTTTCTTCCTAAGTAAATGCGTAACTATTGTGATATTATGCTCGTTAGGGCATCTCCAACCAATATAATCTTCGTCCTCATAAATTACAAAATAAAATATTTACTATAGATTCGATTTTTATTTGGGATATCATGAAAATGTTTAGCTAGTTAGGATTGTTATTATGATGTTGTTGAGCTCATCTTTCAGTCCACCGCAATTTTCGTTAATTGTAGCCTTATATTAAAGAAGAGTGGCGATGCGTAACATGAGCCATCTAAAAAAAGCATGTGTTTGAATATCACTTTTTACGTCATAATATTTAGTTTGCTTATAAAGTGGATCACAAGTTACTATAATTCTTCAATATATATATGTCTAATATTGTGCTTCACAAAGAAAAAAAACCAAAAAATGAAAGTTCTTAATTTACCAAGTTGTGTTCTTTCTCCTCTTCATGGTTTTGAGGCTAATAATGTGGCAGATTCTCTGATTCAAGATTCTTGCAAAAAAATTTCAATATATGAAGAAGAACCATATTACTACAAGTTATGCATCACATCTCTCAAAGAAAATCCAGAGAGTCAGAAAGTGAGAAACATTGATGATTTGACCATGGTAGGATGGAAAAACGCTATGACAAACATGACAAATGTGAAAGGAATTGTTGAGAAGATTCTCAAAGAGCGAAAGAATAAGAGTAGGTTGAGTGAGAAGTTATTACGCGAATGCGTTAAGCTTTATTCAAAAGGCAATGACTCGTTAACTAAAGCATTCAAGTACATTAAATTACGGGATTACAAGATCGCCCACAGAAATTTTAGTGATGCAAGATATGTTTCAAGAACTTGCGAAATGCAATTCAATGGCGATAATAACCAGACATCTCCTGTAACGAAAGAGAACGATCTTCTCTTTGAAATGGTCGACATTCCTGAATCTCTTAATTTCTTACATATACGTCCACCCGACGTATAGCATACATCGTGTCATCATATAACTTTGTCTCTATATATATTACACATTTTCTATAAAACATTTACCATCAGCTTAACACACACACACATTCTTAAAAGAGTTTTTTCTTCCCACAATTCTCAATTTTTATATATTTGGATTATGTAACTTTTACATTTATATGAGTTATATAAGCTTTCCATTATCCAATTTAATTTTACGAATAAGACATTGAAATTATCATTTACACACAAAAAACATTGACGAAGGCATTTCGAAGTTGTAAATGCTATAGCTTTTGCATACCATTAACCTCTAAAATAGTGAATAATGAATATTCTGGTATGGCTACATTGCAATGTTACAATATTAACCTCATCATTCGCTTGGTAATGCAAGCATCAGTCTACGCCATATGTGAAGAATGTAGACAAAGATCAAGTGAAGCAAGTTAGAAGAAGTTAGCTTGAAGTATG